ACCCCTACTACTGCTACTCGCAACCATACAACCAACCCCTTTGGCATTAAATGCAATAAGACCTCTCACTTTGAAGTATGGCGAGATGCCATGGTTGACAACAGGTACGTGGAGGGCTTTTAGACAATGGGACAGCATGAATAAATAAGGAAATGATTAGCAAAAGATATAAGGAAGCTTCTGAAGAACGCTTAGTAACAAGTAATTCACATTCTCTCTCTCTCTCTCTCTCTCTCTCTCTCTCTCTCTCTCTCTCTCTACTCTTAACATTCTCTTTAAATTGTTATTCTGACCACATCCTCATCTAATTTGATCATCGAAGGGTCTATAAAAAGGAATCACTCCCATTTCGAAACCTTTCTACTGGACTTGTTGCATGTATGATCAAGAAGACGAAGGACAACCAACCCATGGAGTGCTTGGATCAGTCCGACCCATCTCTTACCGGTCAAACTACTTTATCATACATAGTTACATTAATACCCTTAAAATTTTTGTTTTTTTAGGGAGTGTACTTTGTGTGAAATAACAGTAATGTAACTATATATAATAAAGAATAAATAAATAAATGTATTTGGAGTAAAGTGGAGTGAGAATAGCGTTTTCTCTTAAATACAACATTAGTCTATATTTAAAAGTTTTTATTTTTTATTTTTTTATTTCATTCAAAGACTATTTGTGAGAAAGCCAATAGATTCCACAGGGAGGAGACCTAGTGCTATGATCTCACATTGACTTTCTCAGAGAGAGGCCTTATTTGGGAAGTTGGTTATTTTAATTAGTTATTTGATTATTTTTTTTTGTGTGTGGTTATTTTAGCCTGATTAAAATATTTGTATTTAGAACCTAGTTGATTTGATGGTTGTGAGAGAAAAAAATGAAATGGTTATGGATAGAATATGATATTTTATCTTATTGATTATTTTAGTTTATTTTATCTTTTAGTAAGTTATTTTAGTCCAACCCTCTTCCCAAACACCCCCAATAGTAGATTGGACTGAAGACAAGGTTGTGTTGAGAATATAGAAAGTTCTAAACACATTCACATCTATAGATGCAAATATATATGTTACATCTGTACATTATGTGTCTGAAAATTTTTGTGTTCCTAAACTTTTCCTTGAAGGAAAGCTCATCGTTTTTCTTTTCTTTACTTTGAAGTTGTCTTTAGCATGCTAGTAGCATGAATACATTAAAGAGAAAATTGGTGAAAATCTATCCCAAAGGAGTATAAAACATTATATCCAAGATAAAATCTTATTTGATGATAAGGACATGTCGAAAAATTTGTCGAACAAATCACTGTTGCTGGAAAGTTAGCTGGAAAAGTCATCGGTGACAGAACCAACGACAGCAGGTGGTGGTGGTAAGGTAGCACAAATACATTAAAGAGAAAATTGGTGAAAAGTCCATCCCAAAGGAGTTACATGTGTCGCATTTCAACAGATAGTTAGTTTGACGAATTTCAATAGATAGACAAACAGGTTGATTTGAATAGATAGGCAAATAAGTTGATTTTAACATATAGTTATTTTTTTTGGACAAATTGTGTCATTTTGGCCCCAAAAGATTAGAGCTTGGGTCATTGGTGTTGGGTCAGGGGGAGCCCAGATTGATGAAAACAAACACACACAAGAGAAAAACACAGAATTTATGTGGTTCGACAATAGCCTATGTCCACAGACAACGGAAATTCAATATATTTGGAGAGATACAAATTTTACTCTTGGTTCCTCACCACTCTCTTCTTCTTCAATTCGATGTTTGCATACCAAATACAATTCATTACCTATCTATTTATATCCTTCCACCGAGGGTAACATGCACAAGTGGTGACACCAAATTCACTGTATTCGGACACGTTCGGGAAGCTTCACTGTAGCTTTCATTGTTGACCATCAATGAGCTTCAATTCAAAATGATTTTCTTCAGCTGCTTTTGGATCATCTAGGAGCTTTCATCTTGATACTTCTCGGCTTCTTCAGAGAAAAGAATTCAGTCTTCTCTTTTTTGCTTATTTCTTCATGGTGTATAGTGAACAATCAACACTAATATGCACCCGAAGGTGCTTACATGTACTCCAAATGGATTAAGTCCAAACTCCATTTGAACTTAATCCAATTTTGTTCTTCTTCTGCTAGGTTTTTTTCTATTGTGAACAATTAACACTGACATGCGCCCGAAGGTGCTTACATGTACTCCAAATGGATTAAGTTCAAACTTTATTTGAACTTAAACCAATTATGTTCTTCTTCTGCTGGGTTTTCTTCTACTAGGAGAGATGCACTGTGCTTCTGACCCTAACCCTCTCTTGGGGATTCTCCATCCTAAGAGTCTTCTTCTGTGCAACCATAAAATGATCTCATTGATCATACCTCTATAGTGGTGATTGCTTCATTCTGTAGAGAGATTTCTTCTTTCCAATGAAATTTTCCTTTCCAACTACTCGAAACCCTTCCAGGTTGAGATAAGAAAATTTCTTTATTCAAATCGCCATACTTCCTGGTGAATTCCATTTATAGCCAATTTCATTCTTTCAGTTTGGTAGTCGTACCAAACCCCAAGTCTTGTTCTCATGCAGATTCTGTACTTTTTCTTCTTCAGTTAGCTTTTCTTGCTCGAGTTCTTCTTGGCTGCTTTAATTGTTGAGATATCATTCCCAACTGCTGGAAATGCATAATATACGATATTCGCGTATCTAGCTAATTTTCTGCTCTCTTTATTCGACTTTCTTGTAGTAATAGATTATGATTGCTGCGATATTGCTGTGACTGGTTCTTCTTCAATTGTACCTTCTTCAATTCGTTCTTCTAAGTCTACTTGTAACATCCGCCTCCTTAATTAACCGCTAATTTTGTGGCATACCTTAATTATGTGTTTATATGTGTGTTATGAGCTATTTGAATTATGTTTGATTGACAGATATGCTAGGATGTGAAATGAACCTGTCTGAATCGTTAAACCATAAGGTCAAATTAAATGCTTGGACTTAGGAATTAGAGTCTAAATTTGCCTTAGCACAACTAAGTTTTATTAATTAGGTGCTTGTGAGCTTTAATTTGATTTAATGTAATTTAAACTTAATGTTAATTGGAGATAGATATTTGGTTATTGTAAACTCAATAATAAAAGATGAGAGACTAGTAGATATGTTGGGTTAAAAATATCTATGAGAGAGAGAGAGAGAGACAATTCTAAAGACTCAAAAGAGAAGGTAAAGAGGAGAAGAGAGGGATTAGAGAAAAACTTCACCAAACTAACCCTTTAAGGTAAGAATTCTTTTCCAATTTCTTGAATCTAGGTTGTTGTATCCTTGAACTCATAGAATCTAAGTGGAAAATTAGGGATTGGGTGGTGTGAGTTTATATCAAGAACCCTAAAGAAAGAAATTATAGGCAATAACTCCAAATCTTGCCATACATGGCATTATTCATGATCAATTACTTGTTTTTGCATGAGTTTTAAATTTGAGGAAGGATTTCTCATGGATTTGTGAAACATAGAACTCCCCTTTGCATAATTCTTATTTTTTTTTTTCCTTCTCAACTTCAAGTTTTGATCTTGTGAATAGGCACTTGAGTTTTGTTTTAAAGTTATGATTTTGGTTTGAAGTTAGCAGTTGCTCATTCAACATGTTTTAGTAAGTTTTGGACCTTGATTTGTACAAAAATGGAGTTGGTTTTTGGAAAGGTGGGATTTCAAAATAATAGCAGATTTTTGGTTCTAAAACACACAGAACCGCACATGTGGCGAGAAGGGCCGCACGTGCGGAAAATAGAGCAAGGAAGCTATGCATTCTGAAATAATTGCACATGCTGGCACACACGTAGTGGAAGTTCCGCATGTGCGGTTTTCAGGCTGGCTCGGTTTCATTTTTTTGCTTCATTTGTCCATCTTCCGAGCCTCTGTTAGCATGATTTTCACATGTATTTGACGTTCATATGCATTTCATGGGCATGATAGAGAATAAAGAACAATTCATGCTAATTGAGCAAACAAGTAATGATAACAACTAGTTGAGTGGACTGTGAATTGAACGTGTTATGCTTGCATGTGTCTATATAGGTCAAACGTCGCGTCCCAACCACGTGTTTCGCGGAGCCAACACTGTTGTAAAGATATGTTCAATTATGAGTATTTCCTAACTTATACTATACCCCATTCCTAAAATGATTCTTCTGCTTAAATGAATGATTGTCTTGTTTTCCTGAACTGTATGCGTGGCATCCATAGCATCTGTTTACTGTTATTGCTAGAGATCTCTATCAGTTCTAATGCTTGGAACTTCTGTTTACTGTATTGATGGCCATTATATATGACTGTTCGGTCTTCATGACCATATATTCAGTCCTCATGACCGTCTATATTGTTCTGTTATTGGATATACCACGTATAACTACTATGCTTTCTGTGTGACATACAGATCTACTAAGCATATGATTTTGATTTTCTATTTACTACTAAAATTGACCGATTTGAATTACAGTAAGGACATCATTCATAACCTCTTTACACTGTTGTTATTCACTGGGCTCTGGCTCATTCTTGTATATATGTATGTAGGTGATCCAGTGCAGGAGGGGACGTAGTGGCATCGACCTTGTCTCAGTTGTCAAGCTAGCTTTTGTGCCTCACTACAAAGTTCCTATCAGTTGAGTGTTAGGACTTTTTGGTGGCCCTGAGATCACCCTTTTGGGATTCAATCATGCATCATGAATAGTTTTAATTTTTGTGTATCTGTTGATGATGGGAAAATAATCCCTTTTTTGTTTATGTTTTGATATACAACCTTGCTATAGATCGATGTTTAGACTGATGTATATATGCATATATATAAAAAGTTCATTTGTTCTATTTAAGTCTCCATAACTCGTTGGTCGTTCTATTTTCTTATTTATTGGCTTCCGCCAGCCTCGTTACTGTATTACTGTTAAGCAGGCCTTAGGTAATCGTGGATTACTGGCTAGTTTTTACACTAAACCTATAGGGATGAGTTTGGGTCATGACACTACTGGTGCATTAAACTCCACCTGCTGCGTTCCAATGGCTTTGTTCTGTTCACTAGAGTCTTCAGGCTTGAGTTGCTTAACCATTTTAGACTCATTAAATGTGACATCTCGGCTAACTATGACCTTCTTTGATTCAGGGCACCAAAGCCTGTACCTTTTTGCTTCACAACTAAAGCCCAAGAATACCCTTTTCTTGGCTTTAGGATCAAGCTTACTTCTCTGCACATGGTAGTAAGCCGAACTACCAAATACATGCAATTGATCATAGTCATTGGCATGAATACCGAACCATACTCCAAATCCTTCATTTTCAGCAGTCGACAGACAGTTAATAATGTGGCCGCTATATGTCAGAGCTTCAGCCCAAAATTGCTTGCCTAAACTGGATTGAGCAAGCATACAGTGGAGTACTATTCATCTATTCTACCATTCCATACTATTGTGAAGTTCGTCTTTCAGTGATGTCATGTACTCTACCTTCTTTCTGACAGAGTTCCTTTAGCGGATCAGTAATGTTCTCTCCACCATTGTCTGATTTTGAGGTCTTCAATTTTTAGCCAGTCTAGTTTTTCTATCATCTTCTTCTATGTTGTGAAAATGTTCACAAATTCATTCTTATTCTTCATAGTGCACACCCAAAGATGATGAGAATACTCTTCAATAGATGTGACAAAATAGTTCTTACCTTCTTTCGATGCAACTCTGGAAGGCCTCCATGCATTGATATGCACATAGTCCATCTTTTCTTCCATACAATGTTTTGCAGTCTCGAACTTGACTTTAGTCTTTGTGCAATCTGTGTCGACTTTGTCAATTTCTTCATTCTTTCTATTGTTGGTGGCTACTTCACTTATAACTGTACTCCCTTGCAAGAAGTACAAATTCTTCTTTTTGCTTCCTTTCATTATTACCTGAGTTCTCGATACTACTTCGAGTGCTCCACCTTCCAAGGTAATCTTGAAACCTTTGGATGCTAAAGTGCTCAACGAGATAAGATTCTTCTTTAATTCTGGTACATACCGTACTTCTTTCAAGGCTCGAACTGTTCCATCATCCAGCTTTAATTGGATGCTTCCAATTCCTATTGTCTTACAGGCAGTGTTATTACCCATAAGAATTGTTCCACTATCTAACTTCTCAAAGTTAGAAAACCAGTCCCGATTGGGACATATGTGGAAAGTACATCCAGAATACATAATCCATTCATCAGAATGGCACGGAAACGATGGAGCAATACAAACACAATCTGAATCTTCATTCTCCTAAACAAGGCTGACTATGGATGTCTCATTGTCATTATTCTTCGGGTAATCAGCTTTACAGTGCCCTTTCTTTCGACAAAGGGCACATTCATCTATAACGTGTATTCTTTTGGTTGACGGTTCTTTAGACATGGAGCAGGATCTATTTTTGTTGCTTCTGTATGACTCCCTCCCATATTGCTCCTTCTTTTTCGATCTTTCTTGTACAACTAAGGCTCTATCTGATGTGTCTTGATAATGGGTCTTCTTATCCTTCTTCCAGTACTTATTGTTAACCAATGTGTTAGACACATCTTCAAACTTGATTTCTTCCTTCCCATAGAGCAGTGTGGTAATCAAGTGCTCATATTCATCTGTTAAGGAATTTAAGCAGCAACAAAGCCCTTTCTTTATCTTCAACTTTAACATTCAAATTGAGTAGATCAGCAAGAATCTTGTTAAAGTCATTCAAGTGTTCGGACACCGAACTTCCTTCTTTATACTGAAACAGGAAAAGCTTCTTCTTCAAGTATAATCGATTCTCTATGCTTTTTGTCATGTGCTTGTCCTCTAACTTCTCCTAGAGATCTTTGGCATTTGTCTCCTTCATGACATAATACCTTTGATCTTTTGTAAGATATAACTGGATAGTACCACGGGCTAGCTAGTTGATCTTGATCCAATCTTTGTTGGACATTTCTACAGGTTTGTCCTCCAAAGTGATATCCAATTCATGTTGGATGAACACGTCTAAAACTTTACATTGCCACATGCCGAAGTTGTTTCTTTCATCGAACTTTTCAACCTTGAGCTTAGCATTAGAGATTGAACTCCTTCTTCCTTGATTACTTGATGAAGCTATTTCATCAGCCATTCTTCTTCAAAATTTTGAAACCACTAAAAAAGCCCTTCTTCAGGAACGACTAAGATAGTTGGGATACAACACCCTTGACAACCTCACGAAATTCATATTCGAATATGAAGAAATGGATAGTGCGGTTGTGTTTGGAACGGTCTATTTAGCTAGGGGCTACTCTTTCTATGTCAAAAATCGGCCCAAAAGTGCTCACAAACTGGCCAAAACCTTTCAAGGAATATTTCGTTACAAAGGAGAATATTTTGTCACAGAGAGAATATTTCATTTCTAACTGGGCTGATGATGTGGTGGTCAATGCTAACGTGGCAGTCAAACCAGCTGATGTGGCAGTTGAACAAGTTGCTAGTGTTGACGTGGTAGATGATGTGGTGCTGATGTGGTAAAAAGGTGGCTTTTAGTCAATGCTGATGTGGCTCGGTCAACGCTGATGTAGCGTGCTTACGTGAAACGGAATATTCTTCAGTTTGGCTCGGCTTCACGGCTCGACTCGTTCCATCTTCTCGGCTTGAACAATTGACTTTTTCAGGCCAACTTTAACCAGCGATTTAGAGAGTTTCTAGTGTCCGTTTGAGGTGAATTTTATTTTTTTTTTCAAATTGGTTTACTCGACGACAACTATTCAATAGTGTGTTCAAAAGTTGATTTCAACAACTTTGAAATCTGGGCAGTTATGAAAAATGTCCCTATTTCACTGAAAATTCGCCCAACCAAGCTCTGATACCACTTGTTGGGTTAGAAGGAGCTTAGATTGATGCATACAAACACACACAGGAGAGAAACATATGTAGCGTTTGATAGAGTTTTCTAAAAATGATTTGAGAATAGAGTTGTATTTTGAGTTTGTGAGTTTTAGAATTATGATTTGAGTGTAAAAATTTGTTTGGTTATGGTTTTTGAATAAAGTTTTGAATTGAGTGTAGAATTGAGTTTTGAAAGTTTGATGTGACATATGAAATAAGAGAATTTGTTTGGTTATGAGTTTTGAAAAGAATTTTCAAAACTTAATTCAAAAAGTTATAATTCATAATCAAAATACAGCTCAAAATTCGATTGAAATTTTTGGTCAACATTCATAACCAAACTCTTTTTAAAATTCAATTCAAAAAATGAATTAATAAATTTTTTTTCAATGATTTTTCTTTGAAATAATTTTTCTTTCAATTAATTTTTTTTTCAATTAATTTTTTTTTTCAATTACTTTTTTTTTGAAATAATTTTTATTGCAATTATTTTTTTTCAATTAATTTTTCCCAATTTATTTTTATAATTAATTTTTTTTTCAATTATAATGTGTATGATCTCATTGTCGTAAAATAACAAAACATAAATATAAATATTTTAGACCTGAATAAACATATATTTTTTTTTTATGTTTGTTAAATTTAGACAATAAATATTTTGTTCAAACCAAACACATTTGTAATTTATATTTTTTTAAAAATAAATAAAAACTAATTGATAAATTTTTTGTAAATATAAACATTACCAAACGCTACCTAAACATTTTTTCATTTGTTAAATTTTATCACTTAATGAAAAATTCGTGAACCTATACCATTGGCTTCACCTTCATTATTGTGCCTCACCTGTCCATTTCACCCGTGAAGTAGAAGTACCATCAATAATATTAGTGTGGCTATTCATTGATGTGTTTGACATTGAAATGACCACATTACCCCTCTTTCAGAGAATACTAAAATTTATATGTTAGAAAAAAATGAAAAGGACAACATCTTAATTCAACTTATGTTCTGTAGAGCCATCAGTCCTCTACAAAATCTCAGTTGGTCAGCTTTCGATAATGTAACAACCCGAAAATTTAAGTTGTCCTTTAAATTTTATACTAGTATTATGGTTGTATGTGATAATATATTATTAAATAAATAATAATAAATGCAGAATCTAATTTGGCATTGAATTATCAAATATGAGATTAATTAGGAATTATTATTTAGGGCCAAATTAACAGAAATATGAAATTATAATACTAGTTGGGTCAAATTAAAGTTAAAGATAGTAAATAAATAAATATAAAAGTAAGAGTAAATAAATAATAATAATAATAATAATAATAATAATAATAATAATAATAATAATAATAATAATGGGTGTGGTAGTAAAATAATTAATTAATTTTCTGTTGGTATACGATAGAGTGTAATTTAATTAGGGATTAATTTATTTATATCGTTATATTAGAAAATTGGGCCAAAGTGTAATTATCTTAAATATTTATTAAAGATAAGTATAAATCTATATAATTTATGAATCAAATCTGTGGGAGGATTCGCTGGCCACGCATTGGCCTGTCAATGCTCTTACCTCCTTATAAATAAGGAGGGGGTGATCTGTGGAAAGAAAAGGGAAAAAAGAAAGAAAGGAAGAAAGAAAGGAAAGAGAATGGAAAAAAATGAAGAAAAAGAAGGAAAAAATAATGGAAGCCAAGAGGGTCTTTGGTAGGGAAAAGAAAGAGTAAGGCATTAATGTTAAGGTGAGTCATATTATACCTTGAGTCACCACAATATATTTTACGTATGTTTTGACTTATTATAATTTATTTTATACAAGTTATATTAATACAAGTTATGTTTTATAAATATTTCAGTTACGTATATTAATTTCTGAACTCTATTTGTTAAAATGAAATCCATGGATATGTTTACTTTTAAAGAATATTTGACTATGATCTTATAAACAATTATGTTTTGTAAGTATCACCACGGGAGTCCTATGCCTCGGAGGACTTAAATAACCATTGGCCTTTGTTTGACCACTTTGTAGTCCTCTGTTTGTCATGGATCCATTGACCTCTGTTCTGTGCAGAGCAAAGTATTGTGCAGAGATAAGTGCTACACTATTGTGGGTGCCACCTCTATAATCCGTACGAGCCACCTCTTGAATCCGTACCTCTGTTCTGACTGTCACTCTTGTGACCTTTGTTCTGTTCTGTTCGGTACCGTAGTTATGGTTATTTATTTACATAATCTCAGTTTTGCTACTTAAACGATTATTTGTTCAGACTAAGTTATCTTAAATATTTTAATTACATAACTATCCATGGCTATTTTGTGTCCCTTATACTCTTGGTATAATATTTCTCACTCTGTCATGTGCTTATAGTTGTTTATCAATTTTCAAGAAATAATGCAATTCAAAAATAGCTTTTGGGAAGTCTTAGATACGGCGCTACAGAATAGACACACACAACACTTTTACGATATTTTTATATGTAAATATCGTCCTTTTTTGTCAATAAATGTTGTAATAAAAATAGAAACTCCGATGATTATTTTGGTACCCTCACTTAAATATTATTTCCGCTCGCGTTTATTTATTTGTTTCAGATTTGGCTGGAGGTAACCTTAGTTACTGGCCATCATGATGCTTAACCCTTGGGTACGGGAAGCAGGTTGTGATAGATAAAAGGAAAAAAAACAAACAAACAAACAAACAAAACTTAACAGTGTGTTTTTTGACCATTTATTTGACCGAGACTTTATATCACTCTGCTAACCAACAACTTCACTTCATAACTTTCAGCAACACCATCTTCATTCCAACAACTTCATTACTTTACAACTTTCACCAACTTCTTCACCATCTTCATTGACATTCATTATTCAAATAGTATCAATACAACCAGATCAGAAACCCGAACGATACTACAACCTCCTCCACCACCTACCTCAATTAATTTCACAATCAATTAATTTTAAAAATTCAGTCTATATTTTTACAATTCATATCCGTGTAAAACAAAAGACGAAGAGCTTTGATCAAAGGTTCTTTTAGAGCAGTACACAATTTCAAAGCTGCAGAAGTAAGCCAAAAGTTCACCAAATAGGTCGACCCGGCGGTTAACCGGTGGGTCATTCGACAGGTCAACTGGCTTCGCCTGTTCCAGCTTCCATCAAGTCTCAAGACTCAACCCGAGGTTGAGCTTTGGCAATCTGTTGCTTACCTTTTGCACACCATTTTCATACATTTTTCTATGCATTTTTCATACATTTTTGTTACCTTTTGCTATCTTTTTACTTATGTTCATAAGTCATGCCAAGAACAAAAAGAGCCAGACCAG